CATAAAGCGTTGCGTATTTTGTTTGTACCGAGATATAGTTTTTTTTTTTTTATCACAATTGCTCCTTCGAGGAATTCTGACTGCCGACAAAGGGAGTTTTAAAAGAGGAGTGATAATGAATTATGCCTTGGATCGATTATTGAAGTGGATATATGTCAATTAGGTTCAAGAAAATTGGGATATCGACAGTGGCCTCCTAATTTATATACGAGTACAATTGTAGAAACTTTTTTAGAAACAATATTAACGTTTAACATAGTAATTTTAATACTAGAAACAAAGATAGACTTGTTTTGTCGTCTTACAGGCTAAAGAAAGTTCTAGCAACATTTATGGGGCAAGGAATATACCACTAGTACAAAATTCCTATAGAAATTTCAAATTTAACATTCCGTAAATTTAAGTCTCATTAGCTCGTCGTCGCAGCCCGGTGGCGTAGTGGACAAGCGCCGTGGCCCGCGATCATTGTTTGGTAAGCAACTTACGCAAGGGTCGGTCACGAGATGGGTGAGCAAAAAATTATTATCTCGAGCTATTCCATGCTTCGTAAGGCACGTGATCCTGGCGGCATCTGCATTCGTTAATACCCTTCAATCCGCAATAGACCAGCGTGGAGGGTCATGGTCCATTCTCTATAACCTTCCATATGGAAGTCTTGAGCCCCTGCAGTAGAGACGTAAAAAGGCTGATGATGATGAAGTCTCATTTTAAAAATTGTCTAGTAAGTAAAGGACATCATACTGATAATGAATATTAAAACGTAAAAACTCCTTGGTGTTTTTATACAAAATACTATTTGCGATACAGTAAAAAATGAAGAAATCCTCCTGGTGTAAAAATCCAAGTCCTCCAAAATAGCTATTTAATTCACAATAAATGTTTAACTACAAATTGAAAGAAAAAAAATAGAGCGACTTACATGTTGCCTTGTAGCATGCCGAGTTTGAGTGGATGCGAGCGGAAGGTGAAGTTGCCGATGAGGATAGACGGCGCGCACGCCGCCGCCGCCGAAACCAGCCGCCGCGGATCCACGCGCCTCACGCTGAACCACTGCGACGTCTTGGCGCGCCGGTCCTTACTGCCCGCGTACCCCACCAGCGACGCCTTCATGCTGCCACACATCACACACCCGCTATACCACACACTCAGGGGTCCACGCGCCTCACGCTGAACCACTGCGACGTCTTGGCGCGCCGGTCCTTACTGCCCGCGTACCCCACCAGCGACGCCTTCATGCTGCCACACATCACACACCCGCTAGACCACACACTCAGGGGTCCACGCGCCTCACGCTGAACCACTGCGACGTCTTGGCGCGCCGGTCCTTACTGCCCGCGTACCCCACCAGCGACGCCTTCATGCTGCCACACATCACACACCCGCTATACCACATACTCAGGGGTCCACGCGCCTCACGCTGAACCACTGCGACGTCTTGGCGCGCCGGTCCTTACTGCCCGCGTTCCCCACCAGCGACGCCTTCATGCTGCCACACATCACACACCCGCTATACCACACACTCAGGGGACCACGCGCCTCACGCTGAACCACTGCGACGTCTTGGCGCGCCGGTCCTTACTGCCCGCGTACCCCACCAGCGACGCCTTCATGCTGCCACACATCACACACCCGCTATACCACACACTCAGGGGTCCACGCGCCTCACGCTGAACCACTGCGACGTCTTGGCGCGCCGGTCCTTACTGCCCGCGTACCCCACCAGCGACGCCTTCATGCTGCCACACATCACACACCCGCTATACCACACACTCAGGGGACCACGCGCCTCACGCTGAACCACTGCGACGTCTTGGCGCGCCGGTCCTTACTGCCCGCGTACCCCACCAGCGACGCCTTCATGCTGCCACACATCACACACCCGCTATACCACACACTCAGGGGTCCACGCGCCTCACGCTGAACCACTGCGACGTCTTGGCGCGCCGGTCCTTACTGCCCGCGTACCCCACCAGCGACGCCTTCATGCTGCCACACATCACACACCCGCTATACCACACACTCAGGGGTCCACGCGCCTCACGCTGAACCACTGCGACGTCTTGGCGCGCCGGTCCTTACTGCCCGCGTACCCCACCAGCGACGCCTTCATGCTGCCACACATCACACACCCGCTATACCACACACTCAGGGGTCCACGCGCCTCACGCTGAACCACTGCGACGTCTTGGCGCGCCGGTCCTTACTGCCCGCGTACCCCACCAGCGACGCCTTCATGCTGCCACACATCACACACCCGCTATACCACACACTCAGGGGTCCACGCGCCTCACGCTGAACCACTGCGACGTCTTGGCGCGCCGGTCCTTACTGCCCGCGTACCCCACCAGCGACGCCTTCATGCTGCCACACATCACACACCCGCTATACCACACACTCAGGGGTCCACGCGCCTCACGCTGAACCACTGCGACGTCTTGGCGCGCCGGTCCTTACTGCCCGCGTACCCCACCAGCGACGCCTTCATGCTGCCACACATCACACACCCGCTATACCACACACTCAGGGGACCACGCGCCTCACGCTGAACCACTGCGACGTCTTGGCGCGCCGGTCCTTACTGCCCGCGTACCCCACCAGCGACGCCTTCATGCTGCCACACATCACACACCCGCTATACCACACACTCAGGGGTCCACGCGCCTCACGCTGAACCACTGCGACGTCTTGGCGCGCCGGTCCTTACTGCCCGCGTACCCCACCAGCGACGCCTTCATGCTGCCACACATCACACACCCGCTATACCACACACTCAGGGGTCCACGCGCCTCACGCTGAACCACTGCGACGTCTTGGCGCGCCGGTCCTTACTGCCCGCGTACCCCACCAGCGACGCCTTCATGCTGCCACACATCACACACCCGCTATACCACACACTCAGGGGTCCACGCGCCTCACGCTGAACCACTGCGACGTCTTGGCGCGCCGGTCCTTACTGCCCGCGTACCCCACCAGCGACGCCTTCATGCTGCCACACATCACACACCCGCTATACCACACACTCAGGGGTCCACGCGCCTCACGCTGAACCACTGCGACGTCTTGGCGCGCCGGTCCTTACTGCCCGCGTACCCCACCAGCGACGCCTTCATGCTGCCACACATCACACACCCGCTATACCACATACTCAGGGGTCCACGCGCCTCACGCTGAACCACTGCGACGTCTTGGCGCGCCGGTCCTTACTGCCCGCGTACCCCACCAGCGACGCCTTCATGCTGCCACACATCACATACCCGCTATACCACACACTCAGGGGTCCACGATCGTTTGCGCGTAGATCTACCAATTCCGACGATGAACAATTGACCACTATTATAATTTTTAGTCTTATTTCAATAACCACAGGTGTAAAAGAAAACTTTAGCTGTCCGTCTTGCTCACATTCAGCAGAGGTTAGGCGCAGTGATTTATTGTCCGATGGCGTGATAATGGAGTCGTTGTAATTGGTCGACATTTGCCGTGCTACAAATTTAGCCTTCTGTGCAGGCACATCAATGAACAGCATCAACTATATCTGAAGCCCCACATTCATGGTAAACATTGTTCCTGACAACGATGCATAATGAGCATCAGTTTAAAAACTGTTAACAACAATGTTGACCAACAGTAGCTAAACAAATGTTTACCATGATAAGCTTTACTATACTACGAGGGTGGGTCAAAAAGATCGCGGAACGAGGGGTATGGAGGCGGGAAATATAACTTTATACTACCTGCACTAAATGTGACACTCATTAAGAGTATAAATACTAAGTTTCAAAAAAAATAGGTCATAATTACCTGAGCTACACATCAATCAACAAGTCAATCCGGAAGAAAATTTGCAACATGGAGAAAATTGAGTATCCCGCAGTCATCAAGTACCTTACCAAACAAGGAAAACCTCCCCAGACTATTTTGGAAGAGATGTCTTCTGTTTACGGGGACTCTTGCCCTGGTAAAACCATGGTTTACAAGTGGTATAACCTGTTTAAGCAAGACAGGGATTCGATTGAAGATGATCTGAGACAAAAAATCCTAATTTTAAATAAGAAACAGCTTGCAGAAATGATTGGAGTATCAGCTACAACCATTTTGAACATCCTACACGACCATCTTTGCATGTCAAAGGTGTGTGTAAGATGGGTGCCGAGAATGCTCACACCAGAAGCAGCGGTGAGTTGAGTGTTGTCGCGAGTTTTTAGCGCTCTGTGGTGAAGAAAGGAAGAAGTTTTGAACCGAATTATTACTGGAGATGAAACTAGGGTTCATCATTATGAGTCTGAGTCCAAACAAGACTATGCAGTGGCACAAAATGGGCACACCACCTCCGAATAAATTCAAAGTGTCTCCGTCGGCTGGAAAACTCATGGCTACTGTTTTCTAGGATTCAGAGGGAATCCTCCTTATTGATTATAAAGAAAAAGGGTGTCTCTATCACTGGAGAGTACTACGCTGCACTATTAGAACGTCTGCGAGATGCTGTGAGAGAAAAAAGACGGGGAAAATTGACTAAAGATGTGCTCCTTTTGCACCCGTGAACAAGGCGCAAGTTGCGATGGCTGCTGTTCAAAGAGTGGGCTTCGAAAACTTGGAACATCCTCCCTATTGCCCAGATTTAGCCCCAAGTGATTATTATTTATTCCTAAAAATGAAAAAAGAGCTTCGAGGGAAGAAATTTTCCAGCGATAAAGTATTGAAGAGCGCAATTTCGGCCTATTTTAACCACAAAGAGAAAACATTTTTTTTTCGGAGTATTAATAAATTAATTGATAGGTCTAATAAATGTATTAGATAGAGTTAAGGGGGAATACATTGAGAGGGAAAAATAATTTTGTGTTTTATTTCTCACTTTTTACCCTCCATTCCGCGAACTTTTTGACCCACCCTCGTATGCTGTAACAGAGTGCACTAAAATTTTGTTAATGCGCTGGAACCTTGTCTAGATAACACCCGCGTGACAAAAGGCAAATGATAAATTATTAATTGAAATATTTATGATTTATCCCGAAAATATTGTTATAATAATTTAGTAACTTTTAGTTTTTCAATATTTGTAAAATAATTAATTTATATGGGAAATTGAGATATATGGAAATTGAAAAACATATATGATAAAGGGGACATTGACTTTGTAATAACTCGATAACAAACGGAAAGGATATTTTACATTAGATAAATTTATTATTAGTGAAATTATGTTTACTTATAATGAAAATCGTAATAGCAATTGCTATTTTAATCAACCATAATAAGTAACAACAAACTTAACAATAAAAATCAAAATATGTGTGAGAACACAACCTAAATCAATAAATTTACTTGTCAGCCATGATTGGGGCTAAAAAAATACAATACTCTCATAGAATTCAAACTTCCAAGAACAAAATTAAAGAAACCTGGAACATAGTAAGTGAACAAACACGAAGGAAAACCAGGTGTAGATCTACCGCGGGTCTTCTATATGTTGAGGACTGTGAGGGAAATAAAATTGAAGATTCCAAGGCTATTGCTAATTTATTTAATGATTTTTTTTCTGAAATTGCACATATTTTGACTAACCACCTAGATACCGACGTTCAAAAATGATTACAATATTTTGAAAATTGTACTAAACCATCCACATCAATTAAATTTGACCTTATTGATTATAAGGAACTATGGACTATCGTTAAAAAGATTAAACCTAAATTAACAACGTATATTTATGACATGAATACAAAACTATAAAAAAACGAATACTTAAAAATCCTAAAATTATGCATTTGCTGCTTATAGTGTTTAATAGATGCTTAAAAAGCGGTGTATTTCCGGATTGTTTTAAAATTGGCAAAGTTATCCCGTTACACAAAAAAGGAGAATATTGTGCATTAAGTAATTACCGACCGATTTGCATTCTGCCAACATTATCAAAAATATTAGAAAATATAATAAAAAATAGAATTGTCAAGTATTTCGAGGAAAATCAACTTTTTGTTCCAACGCAAATTGGTTTCCGAAAAAATAGGTCTACTGAGATGGCAATTAGAAAGGTCATTTATTTTGTTCTAGACTCTTTGGACGAGTCACAGAAATGCGCGAGTATTTTTTGTGACTTATCCAAAGCGTTTGATTGTCTTCGCCATAATAACCTTCTTTGTAAACTTACATGTTATGGTTTCGAGGATGTAGAATTAAATATGATGAAATCTTATTTATCAAAAAGAAAGCAAGTTGTTGTAGTAAATGGTGTATCTTCAGATTTAAAAGACATTGATATAGGGGTGCCACAAGGCTCGATTTTAGGGCCAGTGCTATTTTTAATATATATAAATGACTTAGTAAACTCGGTCCCTGAGTGGGCATTCACCAGCTTATTTGCTGATGATACTCATCTCGGAATAAAGGACAAGTCGCAAAATAAACTCGAGCAAAAAATTGAGATAGCTGTGGATATTTTGAAGGAATGGTTTCAGGCTAATGGCATATTACTGAATGCTAATAAAAGTACAATAATGCATTATCAGGTTAGAAAACGGCTATCTGAGAACGTACTTGTTACAAATAATACTTTTCTAGGTTATACCTTAGACCATACTATGAGCCACTCTTATCATATAAACAAGCTATGCAAAAAACTAGCCAGTGCAAACTACGCACTACAAAAACTGAAGCCCGTAACCAATAAAAAAACATTAATGACAGTGTATTATGCTTATGTGCACTCCCTATTAAGTTATGCGGTGACAGTCTGGGGAAATGCTTCTGATATAAATCGTGTACTAAAATGCCAAAAAAGGTCATTACGAATTATAAATGGTTTGCGCAAGCGTACGTCAGCCAAACCTTATTTTAAACAAAATAAAATAATGACAATTATTTCTTTATACATTTATAAATGTTTAATAGAAATACACCATGATCGGGATTCACATTTGAGAAAGATGGACATCCATAGCTATAATTTACGTAATAAGGAACGATTGTGTTTGCCTAAAACAAGATTGGCAAAGGTACAAAAACAAGGCATATATAATAAAATTATAATGTATAATAAACTTCCCCTCAGTATCAAAAACATGAATGACGACGAATTCGAAAGAACAATTAATTTTTTTTTTATTCAGCATCCCTTATACTCTTTAAATGAATTTATGTCTATGCGTTTGGATGAATATTCATTCCTACATAAAGATGGGTGAGATACGAAATTGACTAGATCTCTATGGTAGATGACAAGATATAATAATCATCAATATTTTATGACATAAAATTATATATAATCTATGTTTGTATAATCTAATTTGTGATGTTGTAATTTAATTGACTGTGATATAATTGATTATTAAGGATCGGAAAAATAACCATTTTGACATTGTTAAGATACTTAATTTATTTGACATTCCTACTTACAATGATTTGACCTGCATGATTTAAACCTTTATTTTTAATTTAATATGCTTATTGTAAAAGACTTGCCGTGTGTAACCTTCTGAGTTATATGGCCAATAAATTATTTGATTTGATTTGACTGATGTTTGAACGCAATTACGTCATCAAAATGGCGGCCAAGCACTTTGCGGGGATATTAATTTTAATGATACCAGAATCATATAGTTAACTTGAAGCATCTATTGGATTAATTTCATCCTATTCTGTAATGAAAATATGAAATATACTCTACTTGCACAAACATTCATTAAAACTGACATTAGTTTAAACCGACATAAGTGAAAGACATTTGTTATAATCCCTATTTACAAAATCGATTCCAAAAATGATCCCAGTTATTACGCCGTATCTCACTTTTGAGTTGCATCTAAAAGCTACTGGAGAGAGTCATAAACAAGATATTAGTGCGTTACTTGCAATCACATAATTTAATATCTAGCAGACAATTTGACTTCCGTAGAGGAAAACTGAAGATGCAGTCACCCTGTTAACAGATATTGTCTCACTTCGATAGTAGTCGAAGCTTTGTAGGGGTCTTTTTAGACTTGACCGAGGCTTACGACACTATTTCCATTTCAATACTTTTGGAAAAGATGGAAGATCTAGATATTCGTGTACAGAACTAAAATAGTTTAAAAACAATCTTTCCGACAGAAAACAGCGAACTAGAATTGATAATGATTTAAGTGGTTCGAAACTTTTTGAAGTATTCTAGAACCCACTCTGTTCACTACTACACCCATAAATGAAATCTCTTCTCATCATTTTGTGCTATGCTGATATGATACAGCCATAATTTTTCAAGACGCCTCCGACGACAAAGGGTTGAATACGAAATCAGACATATTTTGCAGCAATTATAACTATACTTATTTAGTTAAATGTAACCAGAGCATACACATGCCCTTTGCAACTATATATTTTAATTTTTTCTTCAAACGACAACGAAAATGCATTCGTATTTAATTTATCACCAGCACAAAATAAAAAGAGCAGTTCATAGCTATAATTTCCCAAAAATCACGGTACATAAATCATAACGTAATAAGATTGACTAATGATTTTACAACTTAAGCGCTCAGAAAAGTAATCAAAACAAAAGGCGAAAAATATGTTCAAACGATACAACGGCCAAATTAAGTAATCCCTTTGTGTAAATGCTAGTCTTTTGACGACTTCTTATTTTAATCAGGCTGCGATAAGCATTGCCTCTCAAAATCGTAACACATGCATGAATCTTAGACACATATACAAATGATTTCTGCGTGGAATACGAGTTTTGACTTGTCATGTTTGTATTGTGAATAAGCTGTAAGAATTGCAGCTTACGGCCGCATCGGTGGCGACGGCGCCAGCGTAGCGGTCGGCTGACAATACTCCGCTCACTAGAATATTATAGTAGTTCTGACAACTTTTGATAGATGGTACTTTTACTAACTTAACCAAATCATGTGAATACTTATATCGAGTTAATGTATGAATATGTAAGAATTAAACAATATAGGTTTACTTGGGTTTTATGGGTAGCAGTAGCAGTAGTAGTGCAGTGCTTATTTGCATGTATAATGTACACGCCACTGGCACCAACCAATCTAATTATAATTAAGGCTCACAACTGCCATATTCAAAATTTAAAATCGCCTAGTGGTTGTAAACATGAGGTATCTAGGAGAGCTAATTGACGAAAGGCTTATGTTTAATGAGCACATTATTGCTATGTGAAGTGTTTGAAAAATAATACACCAAATCTTAAAGAAGTAACTGATGGTAAAACTTTAAAAATAGTCTACATAGCTATTGTCTTCATGGCTGTCAATCGATACTGACGATGCATTTCGGCCTGGGATGGTACTTTAAATAGTGTTCTTATTGTACTAGAGAGAGCACAAAGAACGGTGCTAGACACCGCCTTTTTCAAAAGTCGACTCTATCCGACCACAACTCTCTATCATGAGGCTGGGGTACTGAGTATGAGGAAGTTATTTTTATATCAAGTAGCAGTAGTAGAAGTTGTAGCATCCAGTCAGTATATTTTATAATAAGCTTGCAAACGACAAATTAAAAATAAATCAGTTAGATTAATAAAAGTTCTGTTACCCACGAAGCTTCTGGAATTTAACTATGAGGATACTGAAAATCTTTTAAGGATCCAAAATTAGCACAATCGACTCATTCACTCATATACTCATCACTACACAGAAGCTAATGTTAGAATAATATAAAAAAAATGTTTGCAAGGTAACAATTAGGTACAAAATTTGTGTTGTAATATAATGAAGTTGTTGTTGTGCCATATGAAATGTGATAAGAAAAATTGTAATTGGTATAAAGCCCTCCACAGGCCACGCTTAAACGTAGTGTGGCAGCCAGAAAAGCTTGTATATGCATTTTAATAATTTTAGGAAATAAATTTATTTATTATTATTATTATTTATCACATTACCAATACAAATTTCTAAATTTAGGATATTCATTAGACCTTACATTCCTCATTAAACCTTAATGAATGTCAGTGCAAATGGTTAGTACTTTATAATAATATCATAATGATTTAAATAATTTAAATTGCTAATAAAATGGAGACTTACTTAATTCTCAAATTTTCTGCGATGCGTGCAGCTGCATCCATAGTGTCACAGTTCTCTTTGTACACAATGAAGTATACATACTCCCCTGGCCATGTCCACTTGACTCTGTTGTCTATACGCACTGAGGAGGATGAATTTAAATTTAAGTTGTCCTTGATAACTGAATCAGTCAGTATTATAAGAAATTTAATATATAATTCAATATTTAGAAACCCTCTCACAAAACTAGATAATCATACCTAATTTTGAATTGTTCACTACTGAACATTAGATAATTATTTAATAATAGTTTATTATTATTAGCTTCTGAACATTACTTATTACTAAATAAGTCATTTTTAGTATCATTAAGCAGTCATATTATACATAATACGACGACATATTAGAGACTGCAGTCTCTATACATTTACCTCCTTTCCTGTATCTCACGAAGCGAACTATTTTCTTATCCCCTTCATTAACAGTACTTCCAACAATACTATCTCCAAAGGCTTTTTTTACCGCATCATGTATTTTTGTCCTTTGTTCTTTTGACATGCCTGTCACATCTATCTGAAATACCAAACAAACCATTTGAAATTCAAAGTTGGTCATACATTTTATCAAAATAATATTTTTTCTGGTTCAAAGAATATTAAAATAGAAACTGAAATAGAATTAAATTAATTTCATTGCATTAATTGTACTAGTCATTTCATGAGTAAACTAGTAAACAATTTATATGATGAAAGTTAGAGCCAGTGTCTCAGAGATACCATAGATTTCTTGCCATTACGAAAATAGTTTCACATGTGATGAAATTTAATAAAATTTGTTTCATCATACATACATAACACTAGCTTCATTGTATGATTTAAGTATATTTGAATAGTACAAAATGATTACAAAAAAAGTTCATACCTCTACTTTTGCAGTAGGGTCTTCTTTAGTCACCACCAACTTGTTAATGTTATCCCAAGTATTCATTGGCAATATTTCAAGATTATACTTTGTGAAGAGCAGATCCTCATCCTCATCAAATTTATCATCTACTGGAGTTGGAGCAGTCACGTCTGTCAATTCTGCTACTTCACCATCTTCATTTATTTCTGCTACTTGAAAATCAGAATATCTGTAAATATAAATGATTCATGTCATTTATATTTACATTATATTTAAATTGTGTAATGGTCTCCTATGTGAAGTTGACAGTATTGTAGTGATGCAAAGTGCTATTAAAATTAAGAAAGACTGCTGGTTAAATTGACAAGTATATTACTTGAAATAAATTGAAATTCAGTTAGTCAAATAATAGATAATAGAAAAATATTAGATACATATTATTTTTTACTTCAATTTTACAAAAAATAATTTAGATAAAGCATTTAAGTTGAAGAGTGGGGGCTTGCTATGTCATACTTTTGTAGAAAATGGAGGAGTCTCTAAGGTGTATAAGTATTTAAGAATCTGACTTTAATAACAAATATTTAAAACTGTCCAGACAAGATCTTACACAAAAATGTCAAACAAATATAGACATAATCAATACTTTTATTGAGTTTAAACACTGTTATATTTAATCTTCAAATGTTATTGAGTTATGAACTTTATGATAAAATGAGCATTTTATTTTTTCAAGTTTTGTTTAGAAAGCTGCAGAACTCGTAACAAAACTGTAAAGAATTTATAATGTGGTTTCCATAAGTTTGTTTTTATTTTATAATTATTCAATTAAAAAATGATAAACAATAACATATAACAGGCTGTACCTACCTATGCACAGCAGCAGCGAGCAACAATATAAAGCTATTGTTTGTAAGTTACCTACTAAGTCAGAAATACTGGCTCATTTATATAATTGAAGTTAAATTAAAAAACACTTTTAGATAATCGAGGTTCTAATGTATGGTTAGATTAAAAAATATTCTAAAAGGAGATTTACAAATTACATTATTGTTGTTTAAATGTACATTGTGTATGAATAAATATAATCATAATTAAATATTGGAAGGAGATATTGTGCAAGTGCAGTTGAACCAACTGCAGCAAAATGTTTTCGAATCACCTCTTGTATTTGGGGAGAAAGATTATCTTCAATGATCACTACTAGATTTTTAACACATTCGGCTGGGTATATATTTACACCATCAAACACAATATATTGAAATAGTAGGCAAACACAACCAATCCTACTTGCACGGCTGACAACCACCATGATTTGAGTCTTGGATGGATTCACTGCTATACTATGTGGCTTACTCCAATTGCAAACTGATTTGAAATCGGTTTATCATATCAATATTTAAGGACAGTCGATCAAGGGAAGATTATGAATAAATAAGCAAATCACCCACGTAATTATAGTATGAGAAAATTAATTGACTGGTAATTGAGATGACGAATTATAGCAAAGAGCAAGTAGATGTGTATGTTAATGTTTTAAAATTGTTGCTATACTGAGTTGTTAGTTAATAAGCATCATTATAATTACCTAGATTTAATAATGCCACCAAATCCTTCATGATCACTGACAAATTCAGTGACACCAATATCTTCTTCTGACAATCGCTTTTCAGGAGCGTCCTTTTTAGGTTTGTTTTGCCACTGCTGATTTCCTTGACTTCGATAATCATGACTCCAGTCACCCCAACCTTTGTTGCCGTACTGCGGTGGTCCTCTATGATGATTGCGGCCCCATGCCCCTCTATTGGCTTCACCAAAACCACCTCTTCCTCTACCTCGTCCGCCTCGTCCTCTACGCTCGAAATTATTGCGGTGCCAATTGGAAGACTTAATGAAACTCATTTTAAAACGAAAGCCGTCTCACATTCATAAAACAACCTATCATTTATATTTATTTTATAAAAACGACTAGTATTCATCTAGTGTTATTTAATTTAGGGACGTGATCTGTGGAAGTGATCGAAGCTTCGATAATCGAAGAATCGATTTCATTAATAAAATAATTTATTCTTTTAATCGATATCTATAAAGTTTCAGCACGCGTAGCATGACAAACTCAAGAAGCGGATCTTCTTTTAAATTGGCATTTCTCTTTTGGTTTCTCCAAAATCCAGTGTTTCGCTTAGTTTTTTTGCTGACTCTAATTGGGTTGAATATATCTCATATTCGTATATCGTATGGGCGCACCAATCACACAATCAAGATCAAATAAAAGGGTATTTGACATGACGCTACTAAAAATGAGTTTCGTATTATGCTCATCCTGTTAGATAATAATCTAATAAAGTTTGTTTCTTAGAATCTGCAGACAAAATATGTTTAGCAGATTCTATCTGCAGACAAAATATGTTTAGCTTTAGTAAATCAACGTAAAGAAAATGCATGTTGCATTTACGAATTTTTCATTAACGATGAAAACGCCCTGTAATGAGGAAGTATTAAAAAAAAGAAAACTACAAAAGCACTTTACTAGAGGGCGACTCTGGCAAAAGTTGTTTTTTGCAGGAAACGAGTGGACCGAAGATAGTCATTTCCATTCCTTTTAACTAACATATTAAAAAACTGAAATTTTCAAAGTCCGGAACTAAGATATCAAATACGAAAATATATCAAGTTTTAAAAACTAATTCACTTTTATTCACAGAAGAAAATCGAAAGGATTGTCACGGAGAAATCAAGAACCTACCTTAGTGACATCTAGTTTGATTTCGGGAACAATTTTTTAGTAATACTTCCTCATCGATTATCGTGGTAACATATAACAAGTTCTGTTTACCGGCATGTGACGTCATATGTCAGGAAGCTGTCATGTCAAAACAGTGTTATTAGAGATATGCAAAATTTGTATTTATACATACAATTTTTATCTCAATTCTATAAACAAAAACAGAGTATCACCATTTAAAAACGTCAAACAATAATTTAAAATAGGTTTTAAGAAAAGTGTCAAATACCCTACTCTGCCGACCGGCCGCTCCCTCTGTTCATTTTCGCTTAAATTATTAACAATACTGAAACGAATGACTTCGGGTATTTTAATAGTATTCTCAGATATATTATCTAACAAATTATCTATTTTAAAAGGTTTTTTAAATACATACAGTATTCACACTGACAATTTACTTTTGACATAATGTGACAATGTAGGTATTTTTAAGTATGTTTCGATTTTTCAATTTACCTTCAATTTCATCCATACTTTTTTCCTCGTTTTTTTACTGAAGTAATTTTTCAACAAAAACCATAAGTACTTACTATGTTTGAGTAAAATAACAAAAAATCGGATATCGACTATTCGATGTCTCTTTTTTCGGTTTGATAATATTCAATTGACGAAACATCACTTTTTTTCCTATAAAAGTGTTTTAATATTTATATGGATAAAGTCTTTATACATACAGCCAACTCCAAATTTTACAAAGTAATATCAAAATATTGAGCAAAAGAATCAAGCATACCACGAGTAATGATTTTCTAATAACTGTTTAGAATGAAACGCATAAACTGTACATTACGCGTTTCGTTCTATACTGTATACAGTTATTAGCCTAAATAGGCCTATAAGTTTGACTTCTGTACTGTCAAAATTAAGGGAAATAATGTTTTTTTTTTTTTTTTTTTTTTTTTTTTTCAGTATGGACTTGTTCCGTTATACACGGAAATTTTGCCAACATCCCGTAGTGAGAGAGACACGTGATTTAAGAGACTGAACGATAGTTATAAATAAATATGTACGGTAATTAATCAATTCTTCCTTGAGATTGTTCTTTCTCTACTAAAAAAAAAAAAAACAACTACAATAATTTAAATACATAAAAGGACAACGCAAAAGCAAATAAAACTATAACTACAATATTTAAATACATAAAAGATAAATTTGTAACACTTACTTTTATAATTTGATATCAAGGAAATAATGTTGTTGTTACGACTTCTTTCGGTCATAAATGAACATCAGTAAGGCATACTCAACGTTCGAACAAGTCCACAGACTATTATATTCATACGATACGACAGCGCCTCGAACATAAGCTTAATTACTTGGCAGTTTTTCTTGGCGTTGCTTGAGTGTTGGCTAAAGTAAAAAATAACTTGTTACTCCTTTTGCCTAAGGCTCAGTAGTTAGACCAGTAATATACACTATATTTACACATGATCTACCGGCATTAGGCAACATCACTGTAACAAGTGCAACTTATGCTGACGATACTACCTTCTTAAGCTAAGCAGCTTGATGCGACATACAGGAGATACGCTTCGACCAAGGGCGTCAAAGGTCAGTTAATTTGTAACAGCGGTCCAAATAGTTGCTAATCCACCTTGGTCAGAGCTCAGCAGACCAATTCTACTAACAAGTTTACGTAATAACCGCATTACAATAAAATCTAAACTACTTGCATTTTGCTATTGTACTATCTACTTGAAGTCAAATAATATTTTATATCTGTCATGATTGAGAAAGACATTGCATTAATGATATTGGACTTTAGATAGTTATAGTAGGTACATACAATGGTAAAATGCACGTTATTGCTATTCTACTGAGATGCGATTGTTACGTAAACATTATCAGAATTTACCTGCAGATTACAACCATGTGGACGACCTATAAATCATTTGTCTTATTTATTGAAAAAAAAAAATGTTGTGCGTCCGCGCTCATCACCAATCACAAACTGCATAGGTGGCGCTGTTGGGTGGTGCTCGTTCATGTTAATTTTATTGTAGGTACTTTTGTATTTTGTGCTTGCGTCCGTTGATCGATTACCCCAAAGAGTACTTTATGATTACCCGTTTCTCTTGAAGTAAACCCCAAGTGCGTTCTATTCTAAGAAAAAAATTAAATATACTCTAGGAGTTGGTCATTTGAAGATTTTTAGGAAAAGAACACATTGTTTCCTGAATGTGTCCGAATCATGAGCAGTCGCAAGAACGATGCCGGTAATTTGTTTCTACAATTTGCTTTGCTTTAATCATTATATGGAATCTAATATTTACGTTATAAAAAATTATATTATGTACATAGAAGTCTGCTTCCCAAATTTTAGACTTACAAGATCTGAATTAATAATTTCGTGTAATTTGATTTTTTCGATAGTTTCAAAACTCCGAGTTCTCAAACCCGCAATTAAAAAGTCACGGAGTGAACGAGCAGGCTTAAGATTTCCAGTCGGAAGAATACATAGAATATTACGCGATGGAAACTATGCACGTCGTGTTGGCGCTGGCGCATCGGTTTACCTCACAGCAATTTTAGAGTACTTAGCAGCTGAAATATTAGAGCTGGCCGGTAAAGCTGCAGAAGAAAATCATAGATCCAGGTTATCCCTCTAGAAATTTAAATTTTCGAACAGTTTATATGAATACATATCAAGTGACTAGTTTGATGGTGTCGCCATTGCTAAAGTCCCAGGTTCGATTCCTACACGCGTAGCATGACGAACTAGAGAACGTTTTTTCTACACCCAAATGTCACTTGTCTCGGGTGCGCTCATACAACATCTCATTCTCGACCCGAGATAGTGACATTTGGGTGTAGACAAAGCGTTTTTCGAGTTTGTCATGCTACACGTGCTGGTTGTCTAGCTCTCACTACGGGATGTTGGCAAAATTTCCGTGTATAACGGAACAAGTCCATATTTAAAAATAAATAATAAGTAGAAACTAACTTTTCTAAATTGTCTGGTTTGGGTCTTTTGGCACCTTCTTCAAGAGTGCTTAGCTACTATTCATATATTTATCATTTATGTTATAGGATAGCGCCTCGTCACATACTTTTAGCAATTCGCAATGATTCAGAACTGAACAGCATGCTTGATGGCGTTACAATTTCACATGGAGGAGTTGTGCCACATATCGAAGCACCCTTGTTGCCTAAGAAATCTGTGATAAAGACCCAAAATAATGAAGCAACACACATTTCATCACAGGAATATTAATAATTTTTAAGGACTAGTTTAAGACTCCATTTTTAATCATGGATCAAATGGTAAATTAATTTATGTAGATACTTTGACAAACTATTAAGGTTTTGTAATGAGAGTTAAGCATTTTGATGACATATAATTATGAATATCGTTTATCTGTTTAATATCTGTTTACATAGACTTATTGAAACTTGTTTTGTCAAACAAATCTTCATATTACTTTGTTTTTGATTTATTGAAATAAAAAAAAAAAATAACTATAGTAATTGAATGGATATTAAAACGAGACTTACTAAATAAAATAAATAATTGAAAATGACCAATAACGTTTTAGTTAACTATAATAGGAAGAGACATCTGTTAAGGTAATCCCATATACTTGTGTAGAAATAAAGAAAAATTATGAGATTGAAATTGTTGGATTGTAATTAATAGTGTAGTGGTTTATGTGGTTGTAAACTAGTGTTCCAAAAGAGGTGATGTTCTTGCTGATCCACCAAATATAATGAAGGTTTTATCAAAATTTGTTTCATTCTTGCTGTCTAACTGGTCGGCATCAAGCAAGATCATCTCTGTTGGAACCTCAGATTTTAACTGTTTGAATGATATTAAGTTTGGTGTGAAATGTTTCATTTTTTAATAAAAAGAAATTATTACTATTCCCTCTGTTTTAATAACCTGTAAAAAAATAACTCAAGCTTATTTTTACTTTAGACTGAAAATTTAAAGTTACTGAGAATTCGCTTTAAAGAGGTTACTGGTATAATGTAAATATTAATACAAAAAAATATAATAGTTCGATTTTCACTCCATATCGTGTTCATGAGCGTTTATGACATGTTATTTCGCATAGCAACACAGAACATAATGTTCTGTGCATAGCAAGCAATTATGCATAAATTAAACAAATGTCATCACACGCAGTCTTAAAAACTCGTCGAAGAGGGTTCAGTTTTACGCACTTAGGATCCGTTCACACAGAGATGAGACGATGCTGGAAGAATCTATTGAAGTGATTTCGTCCTGCGCCACAGCAATCGCAACGGAATGTGTCTATAATCGTGGATTATATAAGATTTACATTAATTCTGCAAGCAGACCGATAAAGGCGCCTTAGGCTACTGTGCCGATACCACAGTACAAATATCCGATTGTACTGTGGTGTTCGTATTCTGAATGTAGTGTAGTTCTTGGTATTTACCGCTAGGGGCGCTGTGATGGGTTCCATACACACGAAAATCTTAACGCGCACACGATCGGCGGTGAACGTAAACTCCAAAAAAAACACTATAGGACAATTTGTAAAAAATAGACGGATACAACTTCTTATCAGAAAGCCTGGAAGAAATTGCTATATAGTAATAAGGCCGTCGATTTTACAACTAAACTGTATCAGTAGAGATGACGACTATTCTTTGATTTGTTTGTCCGTACTAAGATTATTGAAGAATATAAAATACGTATTTTTTGCATAATCAATAAATCACGGCGGCACATTGAGTTGAAATGTCGCATGACGTCACACTTTTGTACATTTTCTACAAAATTGTGACGTAGCAAGTCTACTCCTCAACTTCAATGCCTGTTATCTAAGCCATTTTTTTTATTAAAACAAAAAATACGTAATATTTTTCTATTATCTGACTGCTAGATTAAATAGGATTTCTTTTTTTTCCTAGTCGATATCCCTATTGTTATATTATAATGGTATACAATAATTTATTCATTCTTTCAAATCGTTCGCGATTGCATTCGAGAGTCAGCATGCAGAGTAGCTCCAATCAGAGAGGATCGTCCCTGGGGGCCCGGGTTTGATTTCTGGGTCAATAGTAGGTATCTATATTACTTCAAATCTGGATTGTAACACCTTTCCCGATTAAAATTTCCATAACGCAATGGTTTTTGCCCGCAATCAATCGGGAATATTGAGTGACTCGACAAGATTAAGGTATATAGTAGCTATCTTCTACCTATACCGACAAGGATACAACTAGCTCATCTGGATGTGCGAGAATATAGTAATGAATAAATTAAAATAGAAAATTTTGAAATGAGTGACACAGTAAACGGAAACATTCTACTTCTTCTTCGGGCGTCTCCGCAACTCGATGGCAAAAATTTGCGCCTATTTTGCATATCGACCATGAAAAGTCAATAAATAATAACTGATATTTTGTCAATTTTTGTTTTATTGAATTATTCATTGTAAAATAGATTACTACACAATAGTGACAAAGATTTTGGGTTCGTTTCTTATGTTGTTGTAAACTAAACAATAATTGCAATGTACTGAAAAAACCAATATAATAGATTTGAAACGTTTTTTTCGTCTCCTGAAAAGTTGCATTTTTGCAGATATTATGGCAGGGTGATTGGCCGATACTACTCTAGTTAGCCACCACTGTCAGAAACGCTCCAAGAGCCTTCACATCTGCGATAGCCTCCTGGAGATTACACAGTGAGCCGAGGTGCAATTTTACTGTGTCCCTCTTTTTCAGAATTAGTATAATTACAACACAGACAAACAATATATTCGTTAATTGAAATTTGAATTCATAAAACCGTTAATTCAAAATGCTGCATGGCCACGGGTCGATCGTCGTATTGTGGATAGTGAAGAGAAAAACTACAAAGACCAGTCTTGTAAATGACATGTAATTTTTAAATACTGTAAAAAAGAGATCTGATATTTAAATTCCATTAAACATAGAAACATACATAATATTTTTATTTAAAGTATAGGAGTTTCAAAACTTATTGTAAAACTATTCGAGATAAAAAAAAATATTATAGGAATGGTGTATAATTTATACATAAAAGAGATAAATTGGACATTATTCAAATTGGTTTCAACATATACAAATTTAAGATAAAAATATATTCAATAATTCAAATTCCAATTTGGGTTGATGAGGAACTCCTTCATGCTCGTGCTGTGAAAATTTCAATTTTAAGCCCCTCTTTCTTTAAAATATTATTTCGAAAATTTCTTCAAACAAACGCAATTGCATATACGTCCATTCTGAACAGTTTGCAAACGGTTTGAAAAATACCGGTTTTTCTAAGGTTTTCGCTCGGAACAGAATCTTTTTTCGAACATTGTAACCACTGGGAGTGGTTAATTTCGAGCAAAATTGAGGCGGAACTTCGCACGCAGTTTCTTTGAGATCAATATTTTTCCAAAAATTAGTGACTGCTTTTCATTTACAAAAAGTTGTAAGTTATAAAACAGAAAGCGATCGATGGACAATAACCGAAATTAACCGGTATTTTAAGCAGAAACCGTTTTGTTTTCATTAGAACTGAAATAGTTTTGATTCTAAATAACCAAAATGGAAACAAATAAAAATATATGGCGTTTCTTAAGATATAAAACTATGTCTCCGAGCTCTTATCATGTACCAATAAAAATTCGGTCAAAGAATAAAAAAGTATATTTTAATTTGTACGTTCTACTTTGTTATTTCTTCTAAATTATTAATATTTTTTCTTATATATATAAAAAACCATTTTAAGATTTCCTCATTCTACACCTCATCAACCCTAATTTGAATGCCATTCGATTGGTGATTGTGTTCTGTGGTTGCTAAAAATATATGCAAACAATTCGATATTTTTTGTTTCTGTTGAAATTGTTAATCTTACACGTTGAAACCAGTTGCGCGTCTGTCTACATACATTCCCTTTTATTATTTTGTCAGAGATAATTTCAAAAACTACAAAAGTAATAATGAAAATCTTGTCACACATCATACAAACCATTATCATAAGCATCTTCTAAATTAATTGTAATTATAGTAGCAAAGGAACAAATTGAATAGTTTATATTTTAACCATCAATATAAATGCTAAAATTATAATAATGTTAATATCTAAGACTATTATATAAGAAAAAAGGAATACTTTCGTTTAAAATACGCAAGTAATAATAATACATTTATTACACGAACGCACGTAAAAAAATACTCTACTAACTTCAATAAAATAAATGCATGTGAGATTGCAAAAGTAAACTATGTTCTGTCAACACGAAAATCGTTCAGACATACAATACAATACAATACATTCATTTATAGTATAAAAATATATATAGAACCTTAATGTATTACACAAAATAAAGGTACTTTGAAATCACATTGAATTTTAAAATGTTGCATCCAAACTTCTATTGTCAAAATATGATTATATTAAAGTAATAAAACTATAGTAAAAAAAAAATCATATCAGAACCAAGTGATTGCACATGAGATATTAACTTATAATAACACTGTATTGTATAAAACCGACTAAGCAACCATTTATAAAATTTACCCTATGAATATTTGGTTCCTACTGCTAAAATGAAATTTGTAGTGGCTATTCACGCGGTGAATGGTCTAAATATTTTGCAAGTGAAGGTAAAAAGTATTGGAACATTTTGGCAGTATTCAACACACATTAATAAACCGGGATTTACACAATGTTAGTCAAAATCACATTGTTAAAATTTAATATAACATTTAGCAAGAAGTATATTGAAGACACAACTCTAATGAGCAATATTTTTATTTAATCAATTTCAATATGAATCTTAACAATTTCAATTTGAAAATATTTTTTTTTTATACATTGGCAACCCTAAAACATAGTAATATAAGTATAACTTGGCTTCATTTATTTTACTATGTCGGGCATAGAGTGGCAATACTAAGAATTTGTTCATGTTACCACTCTTTATTAAAATACACAACCATTTAAACCAATATTTTTTTTTATACACCACATGTGAAAGTCTAAATCCAGATTAGTTCATTTATAATAAAATAATATATTAACATTATTTAACAAATCATTTATCCATTTGAGTCTCACAATTCTTAAAACATCTGGATTTTGAAATGAAACACTTTCATTGGTGGAGGACAAACTAGGAATAGTTTTGTATCATTAAGAGATGCTTGGGATTAAACAATAATTTTTACAATAAATTAGATTGCAATTTGCTATTAAGCAATTCATAACTGCTCAGTTTTAAATAACAATGATTAAAAAATTAATTTGACTAGTTTGCCGCTAATGCAACTATTGTTAGGTCACCTTCCAATTATCTAATATACACATTCCATTAACAGCATAAAGCAGATAGATATTGGAACTTTAACTGTCATACAAAATTGTATGTTAATTACATGTAATGTAGCTTTAAAATTACGAGCTTATTGAGCTGAGAGCACTTGTCTTATTATCACATATTGTATTATCAGTCGTATGCAGAACTAGTTTCTGCACTGCATCTAATATTATTTTAGAATTGTCTTCATTCCTTAGTTCTTGGTCTTTACTTTTATCTGGAGTATTACTAACCTTACTCAAGTCGGAGTCTTCTTCGACAGATTTATTGTCAAATACAGGGAAAAAGTCATATTGGCCTTTACCATTGTTAATTTGCTTGGTTGATTTTTCATTTTTAACATATCTCTGTTTCTTTGAATCATTTTCGTTGCTAATAGAAGATATATTGCGTTTAGAGAATTCATCCCACCCTTCTGTAGTCTTGCCGTGGACTGGATTCCAGTCTTTTCTAAATGAACTTGAAGGTTTTGTGTTTTCACTCATTGAAAATTTTTGTTGAATATCATTGATTTGGTTATGATTCTCGCGACTAGATACAATTTGGCCATACACTGGAGTGCAATAGGTTATATCTGCTTTAGTGTTGCTACACTGATTGTCTCTATTCAAGTGGCTTTGAGTTATTTGTGAATTGTTCATTCCCGAGTCAAACTCAGATTTTTGACCAGCGTTCATAAGTATTTGTTTTGATGATTTGACAATGTTTTTCCTCTCTGAGCCTTGTGATCGAGTCGGTGAATTTTTGTCATTTTGCTTGCAATTTTGTGAATTCATTTTTTCTTCTTCATTCATATCATCACCACCAATTCCATCAATATCATATACCTGTAATGTAAAGATATAACATAAGTAAAAGCTAGATAGTACAATGGCAATATGTGACTAATTGAGATTCTAATGAGATGCCATCATTACATAAACATTAGAATTGACCTGTAGAAGTTTTTGAGTTAAACCCTTATATCTATTTAAGTAAAAAAAAATAATACTTTTCTCTTATCAGTATAGCTTCATTTTAAATTATAATTTGCATAAAATAATACTAATATATATATATATATATACCTTATACATTACATCTTGATGCATGCCCTTCTCGCGTTCTCTTTTGTTCTGTACAGCTAGCCAAACATCCTTGAGTTCTCCAGCAAGGTCTCTGTCTTTAAGAATAACAGGACTTCTTGTGAGTAGCAGACCAGGATTCATAGCTTCAACAAAATCACAGAGCAAACTCACTAATGCTTCTCTATCCTGAAACCAAGTTCATTGCCAAGTCAGAAATAGTTCAATAATTGCAAGGCCTACTAAGACCACTGGGAATGAATTCCCATCACAGCACAGTTATTTTATGACTACACTAATTTATGACTAAACAGAGTATCTAATTTTTCAAATGCTAGGCATAGTTCATGAATTACTTATACTAGAATTACTTATATAATGAGGACAGACAGTATGAACTAATTTTTATATGTAGTATGAATGAATAGACATTGGAAAAAAAAATACTTACTGTCGGATTTGCTGCATTTTTTCCATTTGCTTTTAAAATATCAGGGTTAACCATTACAGCAAAAACGAGAAGCGGTGGCCTATTGCTGTTTGGTCCACAACCTTGGGGTACCTTAATAAAACATTGTTTATTTATAATAATAACACAAATTTCAATCAACAAAATTGTTACTAATTAGTTTTGCCAGCACATTAATGATCATTCAAAACTATCAAACACTTGAAAAAGAAATATGAATAGAATACAAATTTGCAAAATAGATTATTTTTGGCTTACCTGCATTCCCCCATATAAAGGAATAGGGTCGTTAAACTGTTTAGGGTTAGCTATTTTTTGCCAACCCAAGACGTTTATAAATAATTTCTCCGATGTGTCTTTTATCGTATCTTGAATACACATGTGGGGTTGTGGTGGATTCTTGAATTGGCGAAATGCACGGGAAGCTCGACCATGCTGTATGGGAGTAGCCTTTTCTTGAGGATTTTGATTTTCCATAGCAACAATAACGAATTCACTATATTATTCAGGTTCTTTTTCACTGTTACCTATTTATCACACACAACATTTAGCCTAAAAAATACGAATAACCAATAGTGACATTTCTATTCAACAATCCTTGACGTGAAAGTTTATTGAACTCTCCCCGGCGCCTTCGATTTACACCAGTGCTTATTTTAGAAGAACGTTAGCGCTCAGTGATGGTTATGTTTATTTAAAGTAAGTAAAATATATTAGATCCTTGTAACCTAAACTCAGAGTAGAATTAAAACAAATAAAAATGGTTATTTTTACTCTGTTTTTACGCTCTCAGAAAGAGAAAGACAATAAGGATGCAACGATATATCGGAAAACTGATATATATCGATATATCGACGCCCAAAGTACCGATTCGTATCGATATCGATAAAGCTACTAACCTAACGAATTCTACGGGTTTCTTCGCATGTGGTACTAGTGAATTACAGTTGGGCAAAAGTAAAATTATGTATTGTGGAACAGTTGGGTCATTATAAAAAGTCACATTTGACATCTATCAATCTGAACTTGATAGTGAGTCTCCATTTGATATTATCGATTAATTTAACAAATCGATATGGTTTCCAAGAAAGGTAATTGAATAAAGTTATTGGGCCATAATAATATTAATTTTATGATAATTATTAATAGATTACTTCCTGTTGTCTTTTAAATTTTGTACTTCGTCGACATTGTATAAAAATCATAGATAATAAATGAATAACGTGCACATTTGTTATTTATTACTCACTAAACGTAATGAAAAAACCTAAATAGTGGGAATAAATCCATAACACTTTTGTATCTTATTGCCTACGGAAAATAGACAGGGACAGTGGATGTCGAATTGCGCATCAAAAACTGTTTGATGAATTATTCGCAAAATCGATATTAAGAATATTGTTAACTACTGCATGATTCCAAATTGGCTAGGAGAAGTCAAAAAGGAAATTTGAAACTTGAGTTAATTAAGAGCCCTATTACATCTCAACTGTTATATTTGCAAAAAATTTTGGCGTTCTCGATATCGGAAACAAAAACATCCTATTAATATTATAAAGGCGAAAGTTTGTAAGTATGGATGTATGGATGTTTGTTACTCTTTCACGAAAAAACTACTGGACGGATTTGGATAAAACTTTACAGCAATATAGGTTATACATCAGAATAACACATAGGGTACTTTTTACTGGGAAAACTTCTCACTCCCACGGGATACCGACTTCCACGCGGACGAAGTCGCGGGCGTCCACTAGTATTAAATATTTTGACTTGTTGAATAATGCAGGATAACTCTTGCAATAGTTCACAGAGGCGTCACTTTCTGGAAATTTTGCTTATCTTTTTAATGTAACCTAAAATATCAGAGAAAGATTTCATAAAATGCGCGAAGACACTTTTTTGAGCACCTAGATTGAGCGATACTGTTTATACTAAACAAACCAAATTGAAAAAATAGAATGATATCTCTTATTTAATCGTATAGTATCTAGTGGCCTCGAAATTTTGAAATAGCACTGATTTGAAATAGCATTGGTCCTTCGAGCCGGATATGAACCAGTGACCTATGACCAATGTACGGTTTTTAGGTGGACTGTAGATTATTGCTGGTATTAGAATGATTTAGTTATTAAAAAACAGATAGAAAAAATATAACGGGCTTTTATTCCTTGACATACAGAACATAGATAAAAACAATTGTGTGTCGAAAATATTACATTTTTTTTTCTTTATGTAACTTGTGTTGTGCCACCAACACTAAGAACAAAGATTTTTTAAAGATTCTTTAAGCATTTTTCATTATGAATATTTTTCAGTATAGCGTTGTGAATAAGAAATTGATCAAATGTAATTATCATTCTAATTTACTACTTTTCAACACTAATGATGTGGTGATAGTGGCATTGTTTCAAAATGGATCTATTCAAAATTCATATTTCCGAAAGATAAAGAAAATATTCCGAAATTATCGATGGAGAATATGGCACGAATGTTTTTATTGAATATTTATATTTTATGATATAGTTTTTGAATTGAGTATTTAAAGTTTAAGTGACGTTTAAGTACAAATTGTACTTAAACGTCACTTAAAGAGGTTTTCGTTTCTAATTTTAGATTATAGCAGTTTGATAAAAACTAGTATTTTTCCCTTGTGGAAAGTCTTAACTTAAGATAATGGAAACGATCAGTACAAATTTATAACCTAAGCCGTATTATAGTTTGGCTAAAGAAAACCTCAAAGATTACAAATGTTCCACAGAACAGTCCATCAACTGCAATGAGAATTTTGTTTAGCCTATGATTTGGCTAAACTTGTTTCTTTTATTTTAAGTTTGATTTCAGGAGTGGTGTTCTTTAATTTTTTATTTATATTTTATTCCTTTTAGTGAACAGCCAATTAAGTATAGAATTATATATTTTTAACGTGGTTATTGATACCCATATTGCTATAGTTAAAAAAAATTACCTACATTGAGATTTAAATAAATGAAATGCAATCTATTAAACACTAAGATTTTTTCGTTTCCTTATTCTTTATTGTTGTACTTTAATATATAGGGACGATACATTAATTAATAATATAATATTTTTTGTGCCCTTCATCGAGTAATAAACTAAACGTGACTGTAAGATGCAGGCGATGCTCAAAAACGAGCAACTAAGCCGCGAACTCGCGGTCATGTTCGGTAGCGTGACGTCACACACGCGAAATTATTCTAGCGAGAGCAATTTCAACATTTAACTACAGTATGTAGGTGTCATTTTGTGCTATAACTTTTTACCATCTTGTAGGTAGAGACATGATCCCACTGATATAGAAATTTTGGGGCTTCCGATCAAACAACCGCGACAAGTGGTTTTGCCAGTCTACTCGTGTCACTGTCTAATAATTTTGAAGAGACAGAAACAAGTGAAAATATGAAGGTGCAAGATCAGGACTATACACCTCCCATCCAAAATCTCTTAATTTTTGCTGAGTGACAAAATATGTGTGAGGTAGCGTTATCATGATGAAAAACCATACCCTTTCTATTGATTAATTCTGGCCGTTTCTTTCAACTTCTTCCTTTAATCTCATCAGTTGTTCGCAGTAGAGTTGAGAATCGATGGTCTTGCCTGGCGGTAAGGTTATTATGAGTAATGCCCTTCCAATCACACCATACACACAGCATCACCTTGTTACGAGTTAACCCGGGTTTCACCACGTCTGTGAAGCCTGACCAACCTTTTTACCACGATCTTTTTTGCACGTTCTTGTCATACGTGATCCACTCTCATTACCAGTTATCGCTTCTTCAAAAATGGTTCGGTTACGCTGTAATAAAGAATCACATAGGAGTACACGACTCATTACTTTTCTTTCAGTGAGCTCGTGATCTACCCAAATATCCAACTTTTTGAACTGTTTAAATAAAAACTGTTTTGTGTTCAATCCTCAGTTCTTCAGTTGTATCGTTACCGCTGATATTCCGATATTGCTCCACTTTTTCAAAAATGGCATCCATTTTATCCATAACAGGGCGACCAGAGCGACGTGCATCTTAGACATCAAAATTTCCGGACTGAAAACGCTTAAACGTAATTTGTGCTACTGTCACAGAAACTGCACTAGGTCCATAAACGTTGCATTTAAAAATTTATTGTAATAAAATTTTTAGGTTTATCGAATTTCTTCCTTAGATTCTCTCATATTGACAGTAAAAAAAAAACAAATGAAAATCACACATTTTCCTACTTTGAATTCGGATCTTCTTTAAAATTTAAACTTTTTAATGATACCGAAACTAACCAGATACAAATGGTGTAGCCAGAAATATTTTATTACAAATTTATGTAAATTGATTCGGTTTCATGCGAAAAGACTTTTTCCCCAACCTAATATTTAACTAAAGGAGCGTGTATTTGATTACTACAATATTTTAAAAAAATATGTATGCCAAGCTTCGTCTTTTGTCTGATGAGCATACAATAGAATATTGTAACATAAGTTTAATACAAAACTCTTATTTTTTATTATTATAAAGTTTATTTGTATTCTGTTTACATTTATAATTATAGTTCATTTATCATAGATATAATTTCTTTAGAGTTGTGTAATAGTTCCGACTTCCTCCCAGTTTTCAGCGTTTTGAAATCTATGTAGAATGTAGTAGACTACAGGCCCATGTTGAAAAAGTTATGGGTCATTTGAACCACCAGGTGACCTGTCTAGAACGATATAAGAGCATAAAAAAATAAGATTCAGTACTATGCCGTCACTTGTAAGCTGTCCAACTGAGTGCAGGTGAGAATTCGAAAGTTCAGGTAGAGTGAGTACATTTTGGTCACATATTTTTGTACGGCATTTTTACCACCGATAGATCCATTAAAAATAATAAGAAAACGCGCAGTGCCGTAAAAAAATGGTGCGCCACAAAGTCGGATTTTTTTTTTATTTTCCGACAATTACCGGGGTAAATTTGGTCATTTGATTTTGTACGGCATCTGTGTCATACTATTTCAATACTGCTTCTTATCCATTATTCCGCAACGCCGTACAAAAATCATGCGACAAGGGGAAAAAATCGAGGGCTGCAACCCCCTCTCTTTCCGTAGTCCAGGGGGTGATTTGACACAACATGAAATAAATTTATTTTGAAAGTATTTTATGTATAGATAATATTTTTTCATGTGCCGTACATTTTCGTTGGTTCAAAGGGGAAAAAACTGAAAAAGAAAAAATCCATATAACGAAATGTAAGGTGAATTTAATTTATATTGTGAAAATTTTTTTATACGGCATTTAGATAGATTATTTGTACTAATTTAAATGTGCATTCTAAACTACTGTGCGATGTTTAGCATTTGTAGGGAATATCGTATTTTATTCGGATGTACTCGGCTTGGACCCGAGTAAGGTGTTTGCGTACACTCACACATAGTTCGATTCACAGAACGCAGAAAGACGTTAGAAGGGCCTTGTGGGCGTGGCAGTGCAGCCACGATCCTAGACAAATGTACAGGATCGTGACTTCACCACGCGATCGCGATGTTTAGTCATTCACGTACGCGCGCGCTGTAAGTACTGTGAAACACGCCACTAAAAGTGTTAAAAGTGCCGACTTTCGCAGTTATTAATTGCAAAACAAGAAGCCCATCCTCAAGTAGGTCCAAAGGAAGGATTTCTTTCCATTATTAAGTAGAACACTTCTCAAATTTAGTATTTTTAGTCGAAAATCGTGAAATGTTATCAAAAGTGTGAATCACAAATAATATTTCCAAGAAAATATATCGTACATTGCTGGAGAAGTGCGCATATTTATTACATTGCGTCGTACTAAGCACGTAATGTAATGAATATCGCGAAATTACCGTTTTAAATAGCAACATAGCTGATTACGGTAGATGGGTAGTGAAGTGCCTGGAAACATAATTACAATGAAACAAATCAATTATATGTATGTATCAATAATGTTTGAAGTATATATTAAACCAAAAAGTATATAAAACTGTTGATACTGGGATTGACAGTTTCAATTCTTGGACATAATATACACCGTTTCAGTTCAGTTAGACGTCATAGTGATTTTATCATATTAACAATTGTTCTCTTCAAAAATATGTTAATGCCGCACTGTATCAGATGGCCATAAAGTACCCTTAAAATTCTAGCGTCACTTTCATTAGCCTCAAAGATATGGTCTGCATAAAAATGTACGGCATCATTTTTTCCTAATTTATCTATGTTAATATTATTTAAAACAAGGGATAAAATGTAGAAAACTGCTATATTTCATTAATCTATGATATTTAAACTTTTACAAAATTTAAGTTTTTGCATTTCTCTATAATTTTTTTTAGAACGGTTTCTTTTGAACGGCAATACTATATAATAATTGTATTTTACAATATCATGTTAAAAAAAAAGTTCCCGTACAGGATCAAATGACTTTACAGCTCTATAAATCAAGGATACGATGAAATTAAGATGATTAGTGGTATACATTCAAAGGAACAATCATTTTTTGACGGCATTACTTTTAATAGTACTTTTGAGTGCTAGATAATGTTTTGGAACCGAAGCCGTACTTTTTCAAATCACCCCCTGGACTACGGAAAGAGAGGGGGTTGCAACCCTCGATTTTTTCCCCTTGTCGCATGATTTTTGTACGGCGTTGCGGAATAATGGATAAGAAGCAGTATTGAAATAGTATGACACAGATGCCGTACAAAATCAAATGACCAAATTTACCCCGGTAATTGTCGGAAAATAAAAAAAAAATCCGACTTTGTGGCGCACCATTTTTTTACGGCACTGCGCGTTTTCTTATTATTTTTAATGGATCTATCGGTGGTAAAAATGCCGTACAAAAATATGTGACCAAAATGTACTCACTCTACCTGAACTTTCGAATTCTCACCTGCACTCAGTTGGACAGCTTACAAGTGACGGCATAGTACTGAATCTTATTTTTTATGCTCTTATATCGTTCTAGACAGGTCACCTGGTGGTTCAAATGACCCATAACTTTTTCAACATGGGCCTGTAGTCTATAGGGGTCACTTTAGTCCCTAAATAAGGTGTAGTAGCTATAGGCCCCCTTGACAACCTGCGAACAAAATCAGATAAATTATTAAAAATTGAATGTTCGATATTCTAAATAATTCGATGAATTTGAAAATACAAAGATCTATTTAACTGTAGGTAATAAGACAATTCAGCTTAATTATCTTGTGAATCTGAATTCGTAATCGAAACTTTAAATCTTTTTATAATATCAGCATTTATTATGTAGGTTAAGTATATAGTTAAAAAAAAAATCATGTATTTAAAATTACAATAATTTCTAGTCAAGTAGGTAGGCGTTATCCATATGACAACACTATCATTAGACCGTCTCGCTAGATTCCACTTTTCAGTAAAAAAAATCGTTAGTAAAAAATTATACTAAACATACGTTAATAAATGTGGCCACTGTAAGATCGGTGAACGGTCCAGCAGTATATACAAGTCTGTTTTGAAGTTGACCAATCAGCAAAATAATATTCTTCTTATGTTTTCGACTTATTCCGGTCCATTGACTTTCATATGGACCAAGCACCACATCTTCGCTCTGAAAGTATAGCCGAAACTTATGAAATATTACAAACAAATCTCCGAGTTAAGTGTAAAATAATAATAAATCTTACTTTCAACATGACTTCGTTACTATGCCAACAAAATAGAAAAAGTTCTGAGAGGCCAAAAATTAAATATTCCACCTGCACTAGTATCTGCATTGCGGATGTCGCTGCCTAGAAGAATAGGTTAATTTACTTATTTGCTTTTCAGCTTATAAATTAACAAAAAAATTGTGTTATTTTATATCATTGAGCTTACTGTTAGTTGATAGGCACAAGCACACAGCATCACTGAACACACAATAACATAAAAGAACATTACACGTGATTGTAGTGAGTTGAACAATCTTGAGTGCCTGAAAATATAAAATGACTGGTACATAATTATTACGAATTAATTTGTTTGTGAGCTTCTTATTATATCATTGTCCATAACGCATAACGCGATGTGTATACCGCCAGCGAAGGACGGGAATGTATCGATATTGTTAACGTGTCTACTTTTCATTATATATATTTTTTTGTTAAGGTCGAAGTTTTTATTTTGATACAATATATTTTTATTGAATATTTAATGAAAAAAGGGTATTTTTTTAAATTAATTATCTGAAGAAGAGAAACGTTTTCAATAGAATAAAAAGAGAAAAATAAATTAAGCAATGTACGAATTTTTATCCTTGATTAAAACAGTTGATAAATTAAAATGTATATTATTAAGTAATTAAAAAGTAAAAAGATCTTTAACCATTAATTCTAAAATGAAGAATATTTATAAAATTAAAAAATAACGTTTTTTTTTTGGATTTTATTATATTATAATAAATATTTGAACTTTAATAAAAATAATTAATATTCCTTCTTTTATTTATAAACAACTAAAATTGCAACTTTCATATAATCTAATAGATCTTTATAATTAATTTTGATTAGTTTTTGAATCATAAAAGATTCTGATTAGTTGATAAGAAATAAATTCATTGAGTTGAGTGAGTACGTTCGTTATTTGATGATATTGGATTATTTACCTTAAAACAACTAACGTTCCAATTCTCATTGCATTACATGAATAAAGAAAGTGCTGTGTTAGCCGTTAAATTCGTGGCTTTTATTACCAATAAGAACACCCAGCTGAATAGTAAATTTTAAATTAGTTACTAAAATTGCTTATCTGTCCTTCAGGAAAAGTGCAAGGTCTTTTTTTCGTTGCATAGTTAACTATTTAGGATGCAACGTATTTTTTGACTATAATCGAAAACTGATATCGTTTACGACGAAATAGAGTATGCTTGTTGTTCTATTGTCATTAGAGTATTTGCGTTATTATTTTTATTTAAGTAGGATAGTTTAATACTACCTACTGTCTGTTTGGGTCTGACAGACAGAGTTCTGAGTGCTTAGTGTAAGTTTTTTTGACGTTTACGTTCACTGTCGATCGTGAGCGCGTTAAGATTTTAGTATGGAATCCGGTACAGCGCCCCTAGCGGTAACTACCAAGAACTACAAATCTCCATACATATTCTTAACGCGCTCACTAGTGAACGCGTTAGCGTAAAACTTACACTTACCACTCTGAAGTTTTGAGCGTAATTGTATAGTGATATGTAACCTGTATTAAATTGTATACCTATTATAATTCCCTTTTCCATACTTGAATTGTAGATTTACAATATGACTGCTTTAGATTAGTGTTTTCTCGACTATTAGGAATTCATTATAGGAATTGAATGAAATAAGCGAGTTTAGTATAAAAGAAATAAGATTCCAAACAGAAACTCTAAATCTACTCTAAGTTACTTAAAGTAATGTATATCTCCAAGTAAAGAATTCAAATGTCCATTAAATGATTTTGCTATCTAACGTTAAATTGTCGCACGACAATTATATGATCTAATTAAAAATATTTATTACACAAATGTATGTAATAAATATTTTTAAATCATATCCTTTAATATCAATAATCATTATCCTACTTTATTATTATATATTTATGTATTTCACTAATATTTTAAATATTTTATTATTAGTGTTAGTTAGTGAAATGAAATGAAAATATCTTTATTCAAGTAAGCTGGTTATAAGTACTTTTGAATCGTCCAAACATTTTTTTCCCCCTACCACTTGTCCAGGACGTCTTTTAGCTGACAAGAACAAGCTAAAGAAACTTACTAGCTGTTTATCATAAGTAAGGACATTTACAAAATCATGTCATTACCAAAATAATATGTATTATCACAATAATAAACACAACTTTCAAAGTCTGTAGGTCATAGTTTGTACTATGCCTATTAATTCCATGCATTGCGGTCCTTAAAATAATCATTAACTTTATAATAGCCTTTACTCATAAGTATGTCCTTTACATGAATTTTAAACTTATTTTTATCTTAGTCTAACCAGTATTGCTTGAATAACAATAATCTATGTTATAGAGCTATATAACGTTGATCAATATCTATATCTAAAATGAGTATGCATGATAAGAGTCATAAAAGTAGATGAAGCAAAAAATAGATGTAAGTACCGTACATTATGTCGCTCGCTCCTCGTACGACGTGAAGATATAGATGAAATTTGGAAAAAAAAAATCTCCTATAAGATATATTCACAATTTCCAATTGAGCAACTTAGACGCTAGTCATATGGTGTCGCCATGGGTTAATTTTAGTGATTTTTTTATACATATTTATATTTATTATTACCAAGGATCTGATGATTTGCAATATTGCCAATATATAATGACGTTTAATATGCTAGTGGGTTGAGTTTGAGATATAGATATGAGAAGATAAGCAAAATTCTCAAAGACCGGTCATAGGATGGGTGGCCAAAATTTATTATCCCGAGCTCCTCATGTTACGCAAGATACATTAAGTCATTTGTCCTGGCTACATAGTCAGATGCAGTTGTTGGCATCCACTAATCGCCACTTGGGTCCAGCCCATCATGAATAGATAATATTTGCTCTTTTTGTAAAACATGAGTATAATCTCTATATTTTCCCCCTTGTAATGCAACTGCTGCTGCTGCAGTTGATCATATGTAATTTTTTGACAAATATTTATGTTACAAAATTATCTAAAATTTTTGGAAAATAGTATCCAAAAGATTATTGTATTACTTCTACATACTGATTGGTTTGCTTTTCTTGATTGGCTTTCCAGTTAGAAAAATAGCCAGACACTTGTGAATCCAACTTTTAGACATATTATGTATAAATATCGTTAATAATAAAATAAAGTACCTCAGAAAACCGACGTACATTTGGTGAAGTTCGCGAATTTTCGAAGAAATTTCAGCGTCTCTTGCCATGGCCTCTTCGGTTCCAAACATTTCCTTGCAATGTATACGCATCAAGTCTAGCTTTCCACCAAAAAATACCATCATCACAATTACGCCGGTATCGTATGATGCCAGAAGCAGCGCTCCGTAAACATCAAGAATTATATGATATATTACTGTTATCCAGCAGCCTGGGAAATTATTCTTATCAAAAGGCATCCAGGTGCTGAGTATATGTGGAAATGGCTCCGTTCCGTTATTTACACTTATTCGGTATGTGGACGAGGACAAATAATTAACCAAAGGTGTTGTGATTGTTGACAAGAAAGTTAAGAACATTAAAATCCAATAGCTGTAACTCAGTTTACGACAATATCTGGTATAGTCCTCCACAATCTTAAGTTTTACAGGATCATTGGTCTTACGTTCATATTTATCTGCTTCAGTGATGTAGTCGATGACGGTTCTCCAATCATCTTGCCAGATGACAAACACGTTGGATTTTATAATACATATAACACTTACCATAGTAATTCTAAGGTTCGTTAATACCAAATCAACATCATTACCGGATGAACTAAGTTCTAATAATTCTGAGCATACGAGCCATATTATTAATTCATGAGCCATTACCCAACCCATTCGGCCCAGTTTATTTTGAGGTAAAATCAGTCCAGAGATTTGGAAAAGCCAATAATTCGGACCAAAGAATGGTCTCTCGGCAGATTCTAAGCTACTGAATATTCCATATGCCATTTTACGTGACTAGTTCCTAATAGAAAGAAGGACTAAAGTATTTGTGATGGACTGTTGCTAGCCCTTTATATAGCCTGAGTGCTCCCTTCCTGTGAAATCAAATACAGTGCAACATAAACACATATGGCGCATGTCCACTTATATGCTCATACATTTTTAAAACTAATAGACACTGGTTTTAAGTCGACAAAAAATTTATTTAGCTTACCTACAGTATTGTTCAATAATAAATTAACCACTATTTTCTTCGATAGTGTAATTGAAAACAATTTTTATGCCTGAAATGAATTCGGGTATTATTTTTAACTTTATAATTCAGTGAACATTATACTACATTAAAATGTGGTTTTTATTGGAATATTTTTGGCTACACATATTCGAAAAAAAAAGCATTAAGAATATTATATGGTTAGCTAGATAGCTTTTTTTTCAAGTATTTCTCTAAGATATAACGTTTTAAATAGACAAATCACTAAACGTTTTGGTATTAAAAAAAACATTTAAATTATATAGGTATTTCCTCAATAAAAGTTAAGTAACTTCTACACTGACGGAAAGATTAAGTTTTCCAACAGATTTCTGAATCCACCATACTAATTACATAAATACACCGTGCATTAACTAATTATTAATAAAACGTTAATTCATCAAATTCATAATATATAACATTATTTATAATGTGATATATATTTAAAATAGTTGTCTCTAAAATTGTAAATGTAGTCGATAATGAAGACATTACACCCCTCACTACCCTATCGACGGGACAGGAAATGCTAGGTATTATTAGGGCGCGTGTTGAACCCATAATTTGAACGTCTGTATCATATCTGTGAAGCGTGGGTGTGGCGGACACGCCATGCGTTGGATACCCATGCTTTATAAATAATGAAGCTATCATTCAGAAAAATGTAATATGGACAAGGATGTCATTTTTTAAATATAATTAGTGGTGTCACGTTGGCATTTTATTTCTTTAACTTTTTTTACTATTGTATAAAATTACTGTGAAGAAATAATAAATTTAATTTCCGTTTGATCTGTAGGAGTATCAACGAATTTTGGTTTTTATATATTTTTTAAGATGATAATGTTTTGGACAATGAAGAAATGCATTTTGTAAAAGTATTTTCATTATTCGTTAAATTGTTACAGACTTTAAGTCAACGGTCGAAATATTAATTTATCTAAACGACGGTTAAGGTTCTGTAATCAAAGGGTAAAAACGGGATCCTATTACTGAGACTAAGCTGTCGTCCGACTGTTTGTCATACAAAGTATTACCGAAGAACATATGGATTTATTGCATTATTATTTCATTTATAGATAAATAGCGAACTTCAATTAAGACCGATTTATTAACATATACATGTCATTTAACAATACAATATTGAAAGTTGGGTGCATTTTGATCGAATTAATGTAGGTACGTGGTAGAGACCCATGTTCGTTGACGATTTTCAATACATAATCAATCATTTGTAGTTCCGCCCAATTCAGCCACGATCAGCTCCAGTAATATATATAATATATACTTAAGCAGTATAAGTTCGTAGCGGGCTCGCTTCTAATAAATTTTGCTTAACTTTTTAATTAAAATACAATTGCAGAGATTTTTTTTTAAAGTGTGATGACACTTTTTTGGTCTCCTTGTCTAAGCAAATAAAACAAAAAATAGAATATTCTCTGTTATACAGTCGTATAGCTCGAAGCGGATTTCGAAATTTTGAAATATCATCGATTAATATTAAAAAAACTTATTGTAAAAGAAAATTCTTCGAAAATAGCTTTAAGTTAGCGAATTTCTCATATCTAAGATGATATTATTAAACAAAATTTGTACCAGAATAATTATTAGTACGTAGTACTGAGCAAGCGAGTTTTTTTTGTATTTAAAATAAGGCTCTATATGCTCTACAACTTTATACAAAATATTATTCATATTTTATCTCTTAACCGTTACGTACAGAAGTACCTAGTAAGTATGGATAGAAATCTCAAGGGAATCGTTTAGCGGGATAATAAAAGTAGTCTTTTTGTCAATAATAAATCTGTTAATTAACTTCATCAAAACATCCGACATTTATACTGTCTTCTAGGAATGTTATCCTTTTTTGAATAACTTCAAAATCGAAAAGGCGGAGAATGTATGTTCGACAGTGAAGTATTTTTTTTAAATTAAGAAATCTGAAGTAAAGGGCTCGTTTATTAAATGGTAAATTAATATACAATCTCACAACAGGAAAACGTCGTATTAGCGAACAGTAAGTAACGTAGTTGAGTACCTCTGTGGCGTGGTTAATAAGCTCCACAGCCCGCGATTGTTATTGCCTAAGCAACTTCCGCAGGGGTTAATCTATAAGGAGGATGGTTAAACTATTTCGTTAAATTAAACATAAACAAATACTTTATGTAAGATAAATTTCTAAGTTCCTTATAAAATAATTTGCTTTCAAATTTCGCTAGGTTGTCTGTTTTACTCGATGGGGAATATTAGTAAGATCGAGTACTAATAGTAGTAAAGAATCAAAATAATCTGACATAGGAACATCGAACATCCCTACAGTCAGATCAGACAGTCAGACAGAGAATCGATCTCAATACTAACATCGAATTAAAGTACCGATACCGCTTTTAATAATCGATATTTATACTCAAATCATTTTTGAAAAATGTGCTTTATTAATTTTCACAGCTATCAAATCAGAAAACTTCTATCTTCTTTTTATAAGATCATTATATATGTCATCAAGTCATTTTTGTACTTTTCCCGAATCTTTACTGGTGCTACATCATGCATGACAAGTTCGATACTAGTTTCGTACATAATATACTTACTGATATGATACCACTACTTGTTTTGATTGATACTTAAGTACTCGTGTATTATCTAAACAAAAGTATTCGGGCATATCACATTCCTAGTGTTGTTTGCTTATTTGTTTGTTTTGCACATCCAAGATTTGGCTGTATGGCTTAGATCCTTCGCCTGTCCCATGGACGAAACTACTACTACTATTGTTTTTCTATGATACTACTCTTTGTTGTTTTTGTTTTGCACTGAATCGCAAATAACTTAAGATTTATTTAATGTATTTAATTATTATTTGAGTTTAGGAGATAAATGTTGTTGCATTTGTATTAATCTCAGTTAACTTCTCATTTTAAATTCTTGAAGTTCACGGGAAATGGTATCTTGTGTTGTAAATAATTGCAAAAATTGTTCTAGCAAAATAACAAAATCAAAAAATGGAATTTCATTTCATAGGTGAACGTTGTAATTTTTTTATTTTTGTCAGGTATATATATAGTGGACATATAAAAAAGATACATGCTATACAAATAAATAACTAAATACATAGAAAACGAAAGGCAAAACTAAAACAATGTACAGTCAACAGCACGTCAAATTATACAACTGTCAAATTTTTCAACTTTATTTTAAATCTTAATGCATAGTAAAGTTCAAATTTATGTAAAGATATAAAAAATAAGGCTCCTTAGAATTTTCTTGTAGTATATTGTTATTTTTAATTTGTAGTAAGATAAGTTATTGTAACATAGTCAGGGCAAAGTTCTATAACATCACATTTATAAGAAGAGTCCTAAAATTGTATGATTATTTTTTGTTCCAATTAGTATTGTGAAGAGATTTATTAGAGTGTATATTCACAGATTTCCTCGTGATAATATCAGGCGCAAACAATGGGAGTTGGCAGTGAATCGAGAAGCAGAATGGTGTTCAACATCATACAGTGCTGTGTGTTCTGAACATTTTGAAGCCAGTGATTTTTATCTCACAGATAGTGGTCTACGCAAGCTGTCCCTTGAAGCTGTGCCTTCAATCAATATATCAGTGAGTTTACAAATTAAGAGTAAAGTGATGTCAATATTTATTTTATTATATATTTTTAGTTTATCACTCCTATTCACCACTTATAATATTTATCATAACTAAACAGGATAACTTAACCCGTCTCGCGATTTTTTGAACACACAGGTGTGCAAACGCTTCAAGTGCGTTTTGTGACTTAATCGCGTGACGGGTTAATTACATAATTATTTGTGCATCATTTCATAATATATAATAATAATAAGCCTTTATTCAGAGAACCATTAAATTCACATATCAATTATACTTTTATTTAATACAATTTTATTCTTTCATTACACAAATATCTTGTTTAGTCACAATATTTAATAAATGCTGATATATGAGGATATTGAATTGAATTATTAATTTATGTCAATGTTAGATTTAATATGTCAAAATTTATTAAGTTGTTTTGTTGATTATCTCTGTTTTTCTTTTAGCATAGGCCTCCCCCAATCTTTCCCAATTTTTCTTATTTGCTGTCAATCTAGTTCATGTCACTCATGCAGTTTTTGCTAGTTCATCTTCCCATCGTCTCCACTGCCTCCCTCTCCTCCTTTTCCTATCTCTGGGTATCCAATTTAGTATTGTTTTGCTCCACTTTTCTATGCCTCTTATATTATTATTATTATTATTAAATAAAAGACAAACCTTAAAAAAGAAAGAGCTGAATTATTTATTAAACTATAATATCAAGCAATACATTTACATCCAGTCAGTATCTGTAAGACCTGCTGAGTGACCTAACTCTCTTGCGATAAGTAGCCCTAACTATAAAAATATTTAAATCAAAACTAATAATAAAGCTGAAGAGTTTGTTTGTTTGTTTGTTTGATCGAACTCTATATTCTTAGGAACTACTGGTTAAAATTGTTTTTTTTTTTCTTGTTGAATAGTCCATTTATCGTGGATGACTATAGGCTATATAACATCACACTATGACTAATAGGAGAGAAGCAGCAATGAAAATGTTGCAAAAATGGGAGAATACTGTTTGAGCTTTCCTTGCATGCGCTATGTAAATATTATTGTTTCGTATCTTTCACATAGGTAAAAATCATGTATTACGAAATTGATCCCCTTTAAAAGTTTGTACTTTACTGTATGTTACTGTATGTCACTGTACTTTACTGTACTTTTAAAAATGGATTTTCATATTTGTCATTTTTCGATTTTTATAAAAAAAAAGTTTTTCAATTTTGCGGTTTTTCCAACAACATAATTCAATGGTGAATCATAAATTGCATTTTTAAATTATAAAAATAATTTACATATAGCTGATGCTTCTGATCACTAGATGGCGCTACTGTACTTGTACACGGGGCTATGTTACTTTTTTTTTAATGTTTTATGTCTTCATTGTTTTTCCGATTTTTATAAAACAAAGTAGCTTTCATTTTCGATTTTGTGGTTTTTAGGGTTCCATAGTCAAACCTTATAGTGTCGTCATGTCCGTCGGTCCGCGGTTTAGTTTAAAAACAATTGGTATTAGATAGGTGTATGTCTGTCCGTCGGTTCGCGGTTTAGCTCAATGGTATTAGATAGGTGGCATTTAGTATAAGTATACATGTTAATGACGCCGACAAGTGGTAAAAGAAAATCTTGAAAAATCTGTTTTTGTTTACCTCCCCTACATGTAAAGTTCAGGATGATTTTTTACCCGACAGCGCGACGCAAAGGAGGGTAATGTGTTTATCAGTCTATGTATGTATGTTTGTTTCTATGTGGCGTTCTACAGACCAAATGCGTTGGCCGATTTTGAGGATTCTTACGACAATCGATTCGTCTTAACCTTGCGAGTGTCACTAAAGACATGACAGTTATCAAAATTCACCACAGCGACAACTAGACGCCATATTGTCAAAATGAAAAAAAAAATCGATGAACTATGTCAAGTGGGGTGTCGTTGATTAGGTATTTTAAAATCATCTTTAGGTACCTTTATCATTTTCCATTTTAAATAATAGTCTAGGATATATAACGATTTAAAGTTGTTTAACAAAACATTCTCGCTAATTTTCTTACTTATTGATTTAAGTTTTCATTTAAAGTATAAACGATTTACAAACAAAAAAAAAAAAACAGTGAAAAAGCTTGAAGAACAAATATTTTTGGTAAAAAAATAAAGCATATGTAGCTTTGAGCCGAGTTAGGTCTCTAGAGGGACTAATCATCAGTAGTATACACCACCGCAAGTTACTTAATAATCCCCACGATATTAAATGCCTCAATGAAATGACTAGATTGCAAAATTTACCATCTTATAACGCAGTCAAAGAATCGTAACTAAAAAGTATAAAATAAAAATAAATAATTTAAAGAAAAAAAAATCCCTTGGGAAGATTTGAATGGTAAAATTTGAATGGGCCCCGACTGTGAGTCGTTCTGTTCTGTATTACTTAACAGAATTCTAAACTACTGGGCTTGTTTCTTTCTTTTTAGTTTTTGTTTTAGTTAATTTTTTCATGTATTTTTTTAAATTTGTTTTAACGCAGTCGGATTTTTGATTTTCTTTAAATTATTTTTTTTATATCTTCTTGTAGCGTGGAGTATTGTTGAGTAGGTCTTTAAAAAATATTAGGCGTGTGGGAAGACTGATTTTCGATTTGGTTAAGTGTTCGTGACTTATTAAGCATCAAATGTGTCAAATTTCGTTAGAGTCAATCTCCTTTCCATCTACAACTAAACGTTTGTTGTTAGAAACTCAAACGTCACGAAAGTTATATTTCTATAAAACGAATTTAATAGGACAACTATTACACTTACATTAACTTTACAAGTTTACGAGTAACAGTCGGCCAAATGCATTTAACTCGAAAATTTTGAACAACTTTGAAAACAACACACGTGATATTTTGCGTTTTTTATAATAATACGGGATCGTTTGTTCACAAGTCCGACTTGCGCTTGCCTGGCTTTTTTAAATGGCGAATTATTCATATGAAATTGGTGTTTGGTATGGGAGGAACAAAAAGTCGAATATTTTTTAATATAATATACAGACATAATTTAAAACCGCTGCGAAGGTTTTGTGTTAATAAACTTTAAGTAATTTAAACAAACACGTATTTTTTATTTTGATATGTTCTAGTACTAAAAAATAAAGTTATCGCTTACCAAAGATCGAGACTTTAAAACTACTCGTAGTATTTTGGACTCCGCGCGCCGTGCGTCAGCTGAGCGCGCGCTCGACGCCGTAGATATAAGTATGTAGGTATGTCCGAGTTCCCTAGCTAGCTTAAGCCAGTAAAGGAATTAGGCAGGGAGGTCACCTCTAAGGATTCGAGGCCTCGTACTCCTGACTTACGCATTCCTGCCACCCAGGCCCGTTGTTCGGTCCGCACAGGAGACATACGGCACGGAAATTTGTTTAACTCCTTTTATAAATCGGTTAATTTTTACTTCATTTACAAGTTTATTTATAGGTTTATAAGTTAACATTTTTAAAACTACTGAACTGATTTTGATGAAACTTGTAGTGTACCCTAAGTTGAAATCTAAGCAATTAAATAAAAAAAGAATAATTGCAATCCGACGTCTAGTTTGCGAGATGTTCACGGACAAACATACATACATATATACATACGTTTATAAAATTTTGCACGTGCGTTTAGAGCTCATACAGAATATATGAATATTTCGCAATTGCAACGAAATTACTACATACACGTCGAATTGATAACCTCCTTTTTTGAAGTCGGTTAATAAAATACTGACTATAGACAGTTGCTAGGTATAGCAAATAAGTTCCACGGTTATAGCAATGGACAAGATGATACCTGATTTCGTTAAAGCAATAATCAGTACATATTTAATAATACTCACTCTCATTACAACGATTCTTATTAAAGTGTTCTCTTGTTGCAGCCATGTCAAGAACAGAAACCAACAATATGTGATATAGAACCAGTTTTAGCTAATCCATTGGATTCTGATGAAGTTACCAGTTTGAGGTATAAAGTGAAGAGATTGGAAGTGATAGCTGAAAACAGAAAAAAGAGGTTAATTGTAATGTGGCAACAGAAAAAGAAACTCGAGAAGAAATTGGAGCAAATGAAACAAATAATTAAGCATATGATTCAGAATAAGCAGACGAAACGAACAGCTAGATGATCACGTCTTAGATTGAGGTGTTGATCATGATATTGAGTCAAAAAAAATCCATTTATTGAGGAGAAGAATTGTATGCTAAATGCATTTGTGAGCTATCCAAGTGTTAAACAATGGAGGAAAACAGAACTATTACACGAAACAGTTATTTTGTCGTGTCAATTTAACGCAAATGGTCCTATAGTTTTGATATTAACGTCGAATTCTGCCACTAAGTAGGCACTAGATTGAGTATCATCAGCTTCCACAATCACCGCCATTGTCGAGGAAAGTTTTCAGGCGACCGCTGGGTTCGTATTTACAGAACGACAGCGGGTTGCTTGCGCCGTATTGCTGCCTCTACGGTACTCATACTCCATAATTACTAGAATTTTTATTGTGTCCATGACAACTTTAATGTTCAACTACAATGAAAACAGAATGCCAACCTTCAAAAAAGTGTCTAATTTTGAAATATCCTTGTCTTTTTAAATAAAATAACGTGCAATTTTAATTCTTAGCCAAAGATCTTTCTTTACCTTTAAGTATCTTAAAAAAAAAGATCTTTTAATATTATAAAATAAATAATTTAAAGAAAAACAAAAAACCCGACTGCGTAAATACGAATTTAAAAAAATACATGAAAAAATTAGTTACAAAAAGTCATTATCAAAACCAATTTATCATACTAAACTGATTTGCAATTAATGAAGGGATGTATATATGAATATTCTGTTGACATTACATAAACAACATTAAATATGTTAATCTTGTCGAACTTTGTTTTTTATTCGCTTATGAAAAGCAACAGTTTAATGATAAATTCGACCTAGTTAAAAATGACGAATTTTTCAAGACGTGAGCGTATTCTCATCAATGTTTCAAAATAATAAAGTTAATTTACATTTAACTAAAGTATGTAGATAACATTTTGTTCGATAACTTTTTGCTATCTTATAGGTAGGGACATTAAAAAACCGCAACAAACGGTATTGGCAGTCTTCGCGTGAGGTCTAACCTGACACTGCCTAAAGAATTATGAAGAGACCGAAAGGTCAGAAATATACGGCGAATACATTAACACCTCCCAGCCAAACTCTGTTGATTTTTGCTGAGTGGCAAAAATGTTTCTAGCGTTATCATGATGAAAAACCACACCCCTTCTCTTAATTAATTCTGGCCGCTTTCTCTCAACTTCAATCAGTTGTTCGCAGTAAAGTACATAATTACAGCATTTCTGACCACTACCACGACCTTTTAGCACGTTTTTCTCGTACGTGATACACTTTTCATCACCAGTTATCAGCTTTTTGAAAAATGGTTCGGTGTAATAAATAACGTCGTAATAAAGAATTTCACACGAGTACACGGTTCATAAATTTTTTTTCAGTGAGCTCGTGGGGTACCCAAATATGCAACTTTTTTGTGTACCCAGCTTTTTTCAAATGCGTCTAAACTGTTTTGTGGCGAATCCACAGTTTCTCAGCTAAGTCGTAACCACTGATATACCGATATTGCTCCACTTTTTCAAAAATGGTAACCATTTTATCCGTAACAGGGCGGCCGGAGCGACGCTTAAACCAAATTTATGCTCATCTCAAAGAAACTGCACCATTCACGTTACAAGTTTTTTTGCGGCTTGCGTTACAGTTTTACCGTTCTTTTTTTTGTAAAATTTTAAAATGTATCAAATTTACAAATTAACAAATGAAAATCACACATTTTCCTAGTTTGGATTCGGAATTATTCTCTTAAAAATTTAAACTTTTTAATGATACTGAAACCTGCCAGATACTAATAGTATAGTCAGAAATATTACAAGTTTTTGTAATATTTGACTAAGGGAGTGTTTATTTGATTACTACAACATTAGACGGATTAACTGTACCTTAATAATTAAGCAAATCGCAATTTTTATATGTTTACGATTGATAAGTTATCTAGTATCGGTCTATTAGAAACCTAACCGCTGCGGGTTTCCGATAGCCATTGATCGAAGGCTGTATGCGCACACGCACGGCGGGCGGGCGGTGGGGGCGCGCGTCCCACTGCCGCCTCAGTACCTCCGTAGCTTCGCGAGCGTCGCGCGTGTTGCACTCGAAACGATATATACAAATCGATCCGAACAACATTCGATTATCCCCTCGATGTTCATAATTATAACAACAAACAGATTTAATCGGGCATGTGTTTAGTGTTTGTGTGATTTCTAAACAATGTTTTGTGATAGTACACGAATGTCATCGAATGAAGCGTGTTAGCCAGTTGCGATCAGCGAAAATGTGACTGTGGGCCGAACGCACTGTGTTATGTTGAAAATGGAAATTAAAGATATGAACGCGTGACTTACTTATTTATACAATGCGGGAGATTTTGAGGATTTGTTTGGTGTGTTTGTGCGCTTTTCTGGTGGTGCGAGATGGGAGGTGTGAGGATGTGAACCCTGGTGCGTCGGAGGGGGACTCTGACCTGGGCAGAGCTGATGAGCAGGGGGAACAGCGGAAGGATAACAAAGCCAGTTTTCTGCCAGGTGAGTTTTATTATATAACGGAGTAATTCAAAGAAGTTTTCGACACGTCAGTAAACAATTCGTAAGTACAAAACTATTATACTTAATAAGTATCAATAATTTGTAAATTATTTAATAACTAAAACTAATTAGTTTATAATTGTTTTATCAATAACATTCTACGCGTATCATTTTAAACGGTCTGTCCGTCATTATTGGTTGACTGGTAGAGATTGCTTTTCTGGGATTATTTCGTGGCTGTAATTCAGGCAATGATAAATAATTTTATGTATATGTGCAAAGGTAGACGGATAAGGGCAATTTAATATTGTTTACATAAACTCGGAATAGAATATTGATAAGTAAATTAGTCGTATACCTAAATTTAATTATCATTAGGTCCATAGAAAAAATTACTTTAAATCTTCAAATCTTCAAATATTCGGGATTGGTATTGGAACATTCAATTATTTGTTATAGTTAATGTATGTGTATGTGTATACAGCGGCTAAATTTTTTTTAAATAAATATAAAAAAAGAATGAAAAGAAAGATGCTGTAATTTTGCATTTAACGAAAGACTAACTCAACAGAAGGTGATTTATACAATACTGACAGATTTTCGACTTGTTTTTAAACCTTAATACGTTTCTAATAAAGTCGATTGTGCAATTTGGTATTTTGTGACAACTCGATGTGCTGTTTTTAAAAATATCCTTCTACGGTTTATGGATGTTGCCATAAGTTGGATTAAAATTTGCCTTTCATTTGTTTACTATGTAGTTGTTTTCTTGCAATTTCGTCCGCGTACATTATAATATAATATAATATACCTACATAGATACATTTGTTCGATTGGGTAGGTACTCTGTGCGATCATAATACTATACTATACTATTACAACTTTGTATTAAAACGAAGTAAAAAAAAATTTACTTCGTTTTAATACAAAGTTGTAATAGTAGGTACTTCGTTACTTACTTTATGCAGAGAATACATTTCACCAATTCATGAGTGTATGAAAACCTTTTGGATCGGCAAAATGCGAAGATTTTACCGGTTCTTGATCTTCTTCGCCTAAAATGGTAAGTCACGTAAAAAAAACCTCATATTGCGCCTTTTTATTTCGAGGTTGTTGTTTATATTATGTTCGAATTCTCAGATACGTAAATAACAATGATATTGGAATGTGTTTTGATAAACTCGCTGCTACATCAGTCATTCGTTTATTCATGATTGTAATAAAGTAGCTCATTAGCTGTTGGGGCTCAGGCCTTCGCTATGGATGGAAATCGAGGAGAATGGGCCACGCGGGCACAGTGCATATTGGTGGGTGTTAATGACCGCAGATGCAGCCGGCACTAACAGCTTAACGTGCCTTCCGAAGCGCGGAGGCGCAGGAGATAATACTTAAATGTTTGGTCACCCATGCTATGACCGGCCATTACAACGGTATCGTAGACCGAGCGTGCTAATCATTGCGCAATCGGACTGCTCAAAGTAGCTCGAATAAAACAAACTCTTGACCTATAACAATGAATGGAAGCTAAACTAGTTGAAAAGTCAAAGATCTGGCAGTATTAAGTTCCTTCGCCTGTCCTCAATAAACAAAATATAATGCTTGAAAAGCTGTAAAACTAAAAAGGTCGATTTATTAAGTGCAATATTAAAACACGTATAAAAATATGAATAAAAAAATAGCTTGAGGAAATCTTTACTATTGGCATATGGGAATTATTCAGGATGTAGCGTATACCACCGAAGAAATAATGCACGTCTCCACGACATTTATTACCATAAATAGTGGTTAGTTGCGTGCCAGTTGCTTACATAAATGGCCAATAAATACTTCGCTCCAAATATGGATAATTTGATTTCTTTGTTTTAAGCCACTTAATTTACTTAAAATATTCAGAATACAATTTGCATAGGTTTCAATTGATGATTTTAGCCTTCGAAATATTTTTGAGATTCCACGGATCATAATTTAGCATATAAAATGTGGCTTATGGAGATCACGCAAATATATTAAGGCACAATCAACAGCATACAAAACTGTTAAGTATCTTAAATTAATTTTAAAACGTAAATCGTTGACGAAGAGTTCAATATTAATTGAGGACTTTGTAGTAACCCGATGTGCCGGTATATTTACAGCATTATTTTATTAATTATTAATCTATAGGAAAGCGAATTTTAATGCAGTTATCAGATAGTGTTTCAAGAAGAATGTTTCTAATACATAATACTGGACCATGCGTGCGAATCCGTTGGCGGTAAGCTAGTATTACCTATAACATATGGATATATCGATGTTAAATTCTACGTTTCACATCCGTCGACTATTTATTCTATTTTGTTTGTGTTATAACAATTCTTACCTAGTGTGGTTGTAGAATTCGTGTCTAAAGTAATCAATGTACAACTTAATGTAGGACTTTCTTCACAAGACAGTAGGTAAATAGGTTTTATTAACGAGAAAACGGTCGACATGGTACAACTAATGCTAGGAATGTTGGTAACAAGAATGTGGTTATT